GCTGCTCTGGTGAGCTGCCTTTTTACATGTCCCTAAATAAACCAGATCCAAAGAAAACAGGGAGGCACAGATGGGTTTTGGCACAGAACAGGCCCAAAGAACAGCAACCCCGAACAGATGCTCCAAGAGACAGGCCAAGAAGTACCCAAATCACAAGTCCTGCCCAGCACCACCTCCTCCACTCACTCAGGACCCAGGACCTCTGGAAGCTGACACTGGTTTCAACAAGGCTGATGGTGACACTCGAGCTAGGAAGGTGCAGCCACACTGGTGAGCCGAACCTTTGGGTAGTCCTGGGAATACTTCTAGCCAGGGAGATGTTTAATTAATTCAGTCCAGATTAGAGCAGGCTCTGGCTGCCCCAAGGTCTGCTTGATCTGCCTTGTCCCACACTGGGGCACAGAAGTCAAACAAGGCTCTGGTGAGGACAGGATGACTTGGCAGCAGAAGCAGAGCTAGGGATGAATTCGTGCCCACTTCTTTCCCCATCTGCAGCTGAGCAGTTCTTTTCCGCCACCACACTTGGTCCTTTTGGAATACAGATCAGCCCAAGTCAGAAACCAAGGTAGGATAAAGAACCCTTTTTTCTTAGTCTTTCAAACCCTGTAACTGCAGGGATACCTCTCTCCTCAGTGGAGCCGTATTGCACTCCTGGATTTTTCCTATCCTCACTTTCCTTCTTTCTCATTTCTTTGCTCTGCTTTACCCAATATGATCTTCCTTTCATTCGACATTCTCCTCACTGCCCTTGCTTCTCAAAAGAGGCTTCTGTGCTTCCCTCTGCTCCTGCAGCACCCACCTCTGGCCACAGCAGACACAAAGCCCTGGCCCGGCTTTCTCCTGTGAGGCTCCAGCACAGAGGTTTTCACAGCACACACGCTCCTGGCGAGCCTGTTTGCCTTTCACTACTCGGGTATTTTAGTAATACTGACAGGGGACAGAGAGAGACCCTCACACAGGTAAGGTCTTGGTTTTCTGAAACAAGCCCTCATCTTAAATTAACCTCTAGGAGAGGTGTTTGTCTTTTCATGGGTCTGTAATTACCAAGCTTACCAGTGCACGGTATAAATAATTGTCTTTATTGGCAAGTTTCAACTATGTGCTCAGCCTATACAAGACACAACGATGCAGAAAGTTCTCGTCCCAGATTAAAGATAAACACGGGGGAAATGGGAACTAGAGGTAAGGGATAAAGTCATATTTTTCAAGTATTACATTCCATTCTGTAGGTGTTACAAACAGGACTGAGGCCTAAGAAGGATCTGAGTAAGACAGCAATAACCTGGAGGGAAGCTGTCTGCAGCTCTTGTGTTTTCCTCATTCACCTGATTTTTAGGGCATTCCCTGGCCCAGGTCTGACCACTGAAAACAAGGATCTAACAGCATGTTGCTGCAGGGCTCGCTCACATGCCCTCAGAGACCAGCACCTAGCGAGCTGTTGGAAGGGGTTTTGAAAACCTTGCGCCTTCTAAATGCCAGGAACTCCAGAATCCACACAGTGCTTGGGATGGCCTTTGTTGAGGTAGTTTGTTGGCCAGGCAAGCCCAAGCGCCAGATGAAGTAGCTGCACGACAAAACACCTTCCTCTTCCTCCACGTTCCCGACTCTTCTGAAACACACTCGTCAGAAACCTCTCTGCAGTAACTCAGCAAGGCTCAACTTGCCCTGGATCTTCAGAATCCCAAAGGAGGACAAATGGAGGTGAAGAAGGGTCAAAACAATTCTGAAAAGACACAAGAAGTTCTGCCCAAAGGGGCATGGACCACAAGGAAGTGTAGTATCGGTATTTCAGTGGTTATCTCAGCAGCTCACTGAGAGAAGCCCTCAATAAAAGTGAAATTTGCTTTGACATCTGAGTATGACATTTTAAAACATTAAAAAACATGTATTCATTGTTAGTGCTTCAGAAGTGAAGAGGGCAGGGTGCAACCTAGCTGGGGAAAAAGTGTGCACTGCAAATTCACAAATATTTTCCACTGTATCCACATGGGAAGGGAACTTCAGAGCTTACTCCCTGTATTGTGGGCTGCCACAGCTCGGTGGGGCTAAGAGGGAGATTTCACTCTGTGTCCTCCTGAATGCTGATGATGCTGCTTTTCAGGGCTGTCTCTGTAACAGTACAGGGAAGAAGATGATTTGAAGACCAGAAGGTCAGAATTAGGGTTCACATTTCTAGACAGCTGGAATACAGATGTGCTTTCTTAAGCCTAGCCAGCTAGGAAGGAGAAAAGACAGTATTTTTTTCTATCAACAATAAAACCAAATTACCACCTCTTTAATTTCTAGGTTAGCGGCTTTTAATTCATATCCCCATGAACAGAAACTTGCTTACAAAAAGCTAAAGTCCTTGTTTTGCTCATGCAAACCATTAGTTCATCCCGCCAACACAGTAACTCCTGGCTAATGATGTCCTCGACTGTTCATGCTACTCACCCTGCCGGCCCATCCTCCCCAGAAGTACTGCCTTTACTGCGTCTGTACAGCACTAAAAGCACCGCTGGCTCCAAACGAAGCTGAGGAGAATGCAAATGACACTACTAATGCTTCTACCCAGGTCACGTACTCACTTTCCCACTCTGACCCCACACACGGTTCCAGCTGCTTAAAGAACAGATGGCGAGGAGAAGGGGAAAAGCCTACTCCTGCAAAGCATGCTTTATTTCTGAGCAAAGAAGCAGGGTGACTTCTTAAAGCCCTCAGCACTGGGCTGAGAGCCAGGACCTGTCTGAGCTTCCTCTGGTCTCACCTCCTCCTTTCTAACAGAGGTTTAAAAGCCACTGATTTCCCACCAATGACACGCAATGACATAAGAATGAGTTACTATCTTCTTGGTGGTTTGGAAATACAAAACGCCAGTGATTACGACAGCTTCTCAAAGAGCAGAGGTCTTAGCACAAACTTACTCTATCTCAAATATTACATGAGAAAAAACAATCCAAACCCAGAAGACAAGCTTGAGCTTTAAACTGTCAGAGTTTAAATTTCTCCCTTGATTGCTGCTCTTAAAACAGCTAGAAAAAAATCACCTTCCTCAGTATTTAGTAAATGCCAATTCCCCTTCTACCCTATTGTTGCTAATTGGGCAGAGACAACCCCAATTTACTTGTGTTTATGTAGCAGCATCATTGCCAGTGTCAGTGCAGCCCTGGGAATGCTCCTTGCCTACTGACTGATAGGGCTGCAGAGCCAGGAGGGAAAGCATCCAAACAAACAGGGCCATGAAAGAGAGAGAAAACTACACAGCAGCACCAAAAAGTCGAAGTTCAGATCATTTCTCTGCCAGGTAATGATTAACTAAAGGTGCCCTTTTAGAGGCTGGAACACAAATGCTGTAACAAAAGGGACATAAAAGTCTGTACTTATCTACTCCAATCCTGGAGACAAGCAGATGCCTCAGAAAAGCAGTACCAGCTGTTTTAACATCTTCTGGCTGGTGAACTGTGCTCAAATTTAAATATGACTACCAGTGAATTTCACTTCCATCCCCTCCTGAATTGGCAAAGAAAACAGAAGGACTACCAAGTCTTCAGGCACAGCTTGCTACCCCCAGATAATGCAGTGCTTCCAAGAGAGCTCAAAAGATAACCCCAGAAATAGGAACACAAGAACCATGAAGACTCAGCACCCCTATCCCTAGAGGCTGTGTCTGAACCAGGAACGTACTCGATGCTTCAGAAGATGGTAAGAATTACCCAAGTGGCCCAGCAGAGAACAACCTGGCCAAAAAGGCAGTTTCTCCTGAGTATCTGGCTGCTAGCTGCTGGCTCATATTCTAAAGAAAGGTGGCTCACGTTCAGTTTGTTTTTTCTCTTCATCCCTTGAAATCCATTTAAACCTTTGTTTAAATGCTACAGGCGGCTGGCCCAGTGCTGCCCCATGGTAATGACCCCTAGCGGTAACGAGTTTGGTGCAAGGACGTTTTAAGATCGATCAATTTTGACATCGTCTGCCTAGCCGTCTCCCTGCCACTTGTGCTAACTTATCCTTCCAGCTCTGCTAGTTCCAGTACGGGACTCAAACATCAAAAGACAGAGTCGAGGTTATCGCAGGTTCAGCTGAGAAGTGCACGCAGGAGTCACTTTCCTAACGGCAGAGAGATGTGAGAACTCGGGATATCAGTTCTGAGCTCAGAGCTGAAAATAGTGCACACTCCTATAGCAGGAACAGAAGTCCTTAGAGGGCAGAAAGGCTGTTAAAAGCAGAGAAAACCTGCAGCAGCATACTTGGCTGTGGCAGCAGAGAGACTCTCAGGCCATGTAGTGTCTGAAGCATTCACCACTTCTTGCTCAGAAATGCACCCTTGAAGCCCAAAGCTTTTGTCTCTTTCACCAGCAACAGCCTCGCCACCCGGTGCACGCTCTCAAGGGCACCACACCAGGGACTCTGCCTCACACTGTGTACGCAGTGGCTCAACTCTGCTGCCATTGGAAGTGAAGGGAGTTTTCCCAGCACTTCCAGTGGAATTGGGGTTTGCCCAAATGCTAATATGCAGTAGTGAAACTAAGCAGCTCTGGGACACAATCCCAAGTAACCAGAACCAGCACTCGGAACTGACAGACCCCACAGTAACAGGAAGCCCAAGGCAAGCCTTGCTAGCCAGAGTGAAAAGACTGTGCATCAGAGATGAACTTCTGAAACAAGGGCATACAACAGAAGGCGATTTCAGTCCAACCAACTCATTGCCTTTCATTCTCAAGCTCTAATCAGTCTGTATCACAAAACTATAAAAGCCTTAAACAAGCACACTGCCAATTGCTTTGTCTCTGGGTTACAAACACACGGAAGAATGGAGGACATATGGTAACAGCAGAGACAAGCCTGGCACATCCTCCAGGTGGGGTGAGATCCAGCACTGTTGGATTTGGTTCTCTTAAGGGTTTAGCCAGTAGCATGTATGGTATAATCTATGGAAACTGTCCCACTGGATTTTAAAACAAAACACAGCAGAATGTCATCATAAATAAGCAAAGTCTGTGTTAAAAAATTCTAAGAACACAGCATTTTCTCCAGTTCTGACACCTTTTTAATAGAAATCACTTGTTTAGGAAACAAATAGCACTTTTGTAATTTTTTTTACAATGTTTCTTACCTTGATCTTATTTTAAGTAACACTAGGAAGACCTCAATATCTTTTATTTTCCTTTTTAATTTAAAAAAGTTGTTTGTTTTTTCCCCCAGATACAAAGATTTTGCCCTTGCATAAAAAAACAGTGCCCAAAACGATGACACAAGGACTCACAAAGACTCACTGTATCTCACTGACACTATTACTTCTAATCTATACCATGCAAGGTCCCATCTACCTCTTTAATTAGACTGTCAGCCTGAAAAACAGCTTTTCTATTCCTTATTTAGTTCTTGTTACCAAAAGAAGAGAAAGGAAGTGAAAGAAAAGGACATTTCTCTGTTCAGTTCACACATCTGGGTCATGTGCTACTTTGTTCAGGATATCTTTGTTGTTTATAAATATAGAAAAGGGTTGGAATCTCATTTTCAAGTAATCGATGCACATTTTCTCTTGGGACACCTCCATCCAATGCTCCAAGCTGACCCTGGATTGCGGCCCTCTATTTTCCCATTCCCAACACAGACTTTCTGGATGAGTGTGAGGACCCAAACCAATTCTGCAAAGCATGTCTGTTGTTTAATGTGAAGAAACAGGATTAACCCAAAGCTGTTGGGACAGTAGATCCTCAGCCGGTACATGTGCTGGTTACTCAGTGAAAAGTCCATCTCCTTTCCTTTTGTACATCTCCTGTCTAAACAATAGTAAATACTGCTTATTTGATAGACTTGTCCCTTCTGGGCACTGGGATTTGATAATTTATATTTCTGGTTTTTTGGTTTAATAGTACTGAGAGTTTAGAAACAGGAAAAGCCCACAGGCTCTTTGGACTTGTTTTTGTTTTCCCCTAGCTAAACAAACTGTTCTGGAAATAAGGATTTGAAACCTGCTCTCCTCCCTCATCCCTGCTCCTCATCCCAAACAAAAATAAAACAAACCTATAGTGGCTGTGGAGGCTGCTGCAGGCACACACTGGTGTAAAATATAGAGAGAGTAAATATATTATTTAACTTGGCATGGTGCTGGCAAAGAACCCCCAGCTGGCACTATTCATGTAACATGATCCAAACTTCGCATGTACACACAGAATAAGAAGGATCAATTGGCAAACTCCGGTGCCGCCTGGCACAAGCATCTTCACGCTCTCTCTGGAACCAAAGAACTAAAGAATTCTGCACTTTCCAGAAGAAATCCGGTTTTGCTTTTCTAGAGTTTTGTTATTTTGCTCTTCCTCCTCGCCGCCACCTCCCTTGGCTCCTTCTTAACTTCACTGTGTTATTTAGTCTCATCGCCCTTGTTACAGTTCACCATGCAGCTCTGGGAAGGGGAGGTGGCTAAGGTGGAGGTGGCAGCATTAGTATTGTTAGTGGAGTCCATGCCGTTGGAGATGGCTACTGAATTGACCTCAGAGTTTATGGGTTTTGAAAGGTCGATGCCTTGGATGAGGCGGATCAGCTGTTTTACCTTCTCCAAGGAGCTGTGCATCTCCTTCTGTTTTGCAAGGATGGTATTCTTCATTTCCATGCATTTCTGCAGCAGAACAGAAAAGCAGCAATAAGTTCAAGGTTAGGAATGAAAGAAGAGAAGGAATGTTATCTTCACAGATCTAAACGTAAGTACGCAGAATAGACTGCAGCTACAGTTTCACTTTCCCACTCTAGAAGAAAAAGAGTCTCAAGGCTGTGTCCACAGGGGAATTCGTATTTGCAGGCTGAGAAATTAAACTGCCAATATGTAGCTGTCCCCTGGTATGGCCCCTTTTCATCCCAAGGTGTTTTGCAAATGAACACAGACAGCTCCATCCTTTTGCATTCCTTCTGAAGGGGAACCTCCAAGTATATGTTCTTATTTTTTTTTCTGTTAGTATTGCACTGCTGAAATTTCTTTAGCTCAGATCTGCAAACTCAGGCATCCTACTGCAGCTAACTGCTGACAGTGTGCGTGCATGCTGCTAATGGGATACAGCCTTTGCTTTCACATACATTTTAGCAGGAACATCACTTCCTCCTCTCAATAAATAAAGGAGTGCTTGAAAAGAAAAACAAGCCCTTCTTCACTTGAAAATCTTATTTTGTGGCCACTTCTTTCTCTTAGAAGTGGCAGTAACCTAGCTAGCCTAGCAGTTAAGTCAGTGTAAGATAACTTTCAAAAAAAGCCCACAAATTACGTTTCAAGGGTGAAAAATTGCTTATCTCTACATTTGAAACCCTCAAAAAGGAGTAGATGGTAGCTATGTCTGTAACGTTCAGATTCATACATGAAGGTGGCAACATTCCTACATTTTTTAAACATTTTATCCACGCTGATCTCCAGACACTGTTGGTTTCAGCTTTATTGTTTTCACACACAACTTGTGGCATCATAAAAACACCACAAAATTTAGACCTAATGTGTCTTTTCTGAAAAGTTGCAATGAAAGTATAAGCAATGACTTGATCATAGGAAATAAACCATCCTCATTACCTACTGTCATTCCCTTATGTTAAGGGCTTGCATCTGCCTGAGTACATCACTGAGAAGCAGTGGTTCCCAGTGTTATGCTCTAGTGCTGCCCAGGTTATGCCCAGCTACTGCCAACCAGAAGATGAGAGTCTCCAGAACTGTTAACCAGCACCCCTCAAACGCTTGTTTACTCACAGTCTTTCTATTTGTATTGTCAGCATTTAAGAGTCTACAAACCTGGGGCACTTCTGTTTTAAAAGGTAAAGACAGGCAGATGGAAAAATAAACCTGGATTATAAAAGAAGAGTCTATACTTGTGTACGCAGCCTTACAGATGCTGCCACATAAGAGAATTCAGTATTTTTCATTCTGTGGTACTGACTAGGGCTACACTAAGTGAGGGACTCAAACGTCACACTGGCAACTCAAGAGCCTGACTTGCATATTAAGGTGAGAAGAGAGAGCAAATGAATATGTATGCTCCAATTACTGTGATAAACTAAGGTGGAAACTACAACTTCTGGTTCAAAGTATGCCACTGTCTCATTAATATTATGCAGAGGCATGCACAGTGTCCAGCTGCTGACTGCCAAGGCAACATGTCAAGAGCCTGAGAGTCAGTCATGAGTGAACAGTCACTTTCGTATTAAGGTCTGGAAAGCGCACCAAGACTGTGACTCTTATTACACACAAAGGGTCAACCATTCATTTAAGTGAGCCACTGGAGAATTTGACTTAATCTACTGCCCACAGACAATAACGCTGTGGGTCATGTTTGGCACCTGCTGATATTATAGGTCACTGTATGTCTACAATATATGGTCAGCATGGATCATGTACAAGTGACTCAATGTGTGTATATGTTGCCTATATTTCATTACTGCTCCCCAAAGTCCTAAAAAGCAAAGGAAAGCACTCACTCAATACTCAGTAAATCCAGGGGAAGACAGGTCTAGTACATGGAGTCACTTTATAGTTTTTTCTCTGCATTCTGGCACCAGAAGACAGGTGCAGAGTTATTTAGGAGGGTGATACTCACCGTTATAGAATTGCTGAGCTGTTTGACCTTCTGCTCTAGTTGTTCTCTTTCCTGTTTTAAATCTGAACTCCATTTAAGTAGTTTCTGTTTTTCCTCTTCTTTTGCTGCAAAACAAGGGTATCAATCAGAATATTAAAGTGTTCCCGTTACAACAGTAGATAGAGGGTCTAAACCGCTTCATGTAAAGAGGGTACTTGCGTTTAAAGTCAATTCAACAACTTGCACACTAAATCACCTCCAAAATTTCACAAGCATCACAGAAGCACCACAGAAGGCTTAACAAATATTTAGACTTCATTTTCACTTCACTAGTGATTAATTGTAATCCTTGTAAAGGAAGAACCACTCTATTCCATTCCTGAAATAGTATCTTCCATTATTAAAATTGAAACAAAACTTCTGTTCTCCATTTTCCTACCTGCTTTATATGCAATATATGAATGAACAATTGCTAAAGTTCCTGGCCATGGGATTGCTTCTTCCTTCTTTAGCATCTGAAAGAAAAGTGTTTAGAGATTTAGCCAGTACACAAAGTACCTCTACAACAGCAAAAAGGAGAGAGAAAAAGATGGCTATTTCTGGCTATAATTCGCCTCAGCCATGTTAACATGAAGCTTCACAGACACGTTCTGAGATTTAACAGAGGGAATTATTCACAACTGTACTGTGACTCCCACAAAGCAGGCCTGTTTCTTACAAATGTCAGCATTTTCTCAATTCCCTCCATAGCCACAAATAAAGTCTACTAATGAAATCGAACAACTTAAAAGAGGAATGAAAGGATAATACATCTGGACTCAAACTTGCCAGGAGACATAAGCATTATTTCATGGTTCAGACAAATTGCTGATCTTAGTTGTTTTGAGAGAAAAGTTTTCATGGCACAGAACAGCGTCCACACCACACGTTCAAACATCACACTTCCTGGCAAGTAAAACACAGAACTGTGCTATCTCCTCTTCTTATCGGAATCATCTTAATAGAGTTGTCAAAACTTCTTTATAAGGGTTAGCACCATTTGTCTTTCAGATCCTTCCTACATATTCCTTCCTAACAAACTTCATTTTGAGGGGAAAGAAACACATTTTTAATAACTGAATCAGAGGAGTGTCTCAGAAGACAGAGGACTCAGTTACTTTACACTGAAATTACTTGCATTTCCTCCCTCTAATTTTTTGGGGACCTATCACAGAAATACGCAGAGGAGGGATAAGGTGAGAGCAGGCAAGAGCAGGAATAGGGAATAACACGTCCTCCTCTCTCATAATTACTGACCAAGCCACTTGAGTTTTGCATTTTCCTTCTTCCGAACAGCCCATCGTACGTCAGCCTGTTTTCTTACGTTACCATCTGGCTAAGCAAGGGTCACGTGGGTGACCAAGCAATATGCTGCATTAGACAGAACGCTAACAGCTTCAGGCTGCTGATTATCAGCAACCCTCTGCAGCTTCTGGAGTTTACTCAGTCAAGTTTACGTCTATGTCTTGTAATCTCAATGCAATTATAAACAAAATATTGAAATATAATCTGTTCACTTCAATTGCGTACTTTCAGAGAGGGATCTGGAAGGAAGAACCACTGAACTGTTCACATATCCTCATTATCCTGATGCTGTATGATACTATTAAAGAGATCACTGAAGACAGTGATGTCTCTGATGTTTGATTTATATGAGCAAACAGGGCCTTATATTTGCTCTATCTATTGAGGTAGGCTTGTGCAAATGTTTTATTTATTTGTCCAGAAGAATATACTAATGACTTTTGAAGAAACAAGAAGCTTAAGATGAACAGCAAAATTTCTATGGGTCAAAGAGAACCTCTCCCAGAAATCTGTGTGCTTTGGCCCAGAAAAAGAGTAACACAAGGGTAAAGACCCCAAATCTGGGAGCAAGACCTAACAGTTTTGTATTTGCACACATTCCAACAGAGGTAATTTGACCAAATTCACACAAGCCTTATTACAGATCAAATAGATTTGTTCAGTATCAGGCTGCCTTGATCTAAATAAGCCAAGTGATCTGGTTATTTTCTTTAACACAAAAAAATCTTTACAGTGCATTGCATATATCTGTCTATCAAGCAATACCTGGTCTTGACATTTGGGACAGATCCACATGCCCTTGGGAATGGTTTTCAGTGGTGGGTCCAGACAGTCCAGGTGATAAACACGTGAACATGTGTCACACATCAGCAACTGCCCGCTTTTTCTGCAAACACTGCAAAAATCCTCATGGATATCACCCTATAAAATTGAGGGGAAGGGGTGTGGGTGAGAGAAAGAGAGAGAAGGCAAAAAGTGAATTTTGACCTTTGACATCTACAACCCAGTTGAATGCAAGTTTTACAGCACAAACTATTTCTAAGGGGTCAAGCCCTGTTTTGACTGTGAAACAGGAAAACCAGGCAGGGTGTCAGAAACACTGACATTTGTCCTCCCAAGGCAAAATGTTACAGAAGACACTTAGTACCATCCCTTTTCTTAACAACTGCTACCCCACAGCCTTTCTTCTTGAAGATTCCTCCTTTACCCTGCTTTTTTTTTTGCCTAAAGTGGTGAGCTATGGATTTTCTTAACCCTTCTCATTTCTGGATGTAAGCACAACTCCACTTCAGGAATGTTGACGAGGCTGTCTCTTGCCAGTAATAGCATGTAGGAAGCCCCAACTGAATGACTTAAAAGAACACTGTCAAATATTTACGTCACCTTTAAAAATGAAACTGGAAGGAAAAGGTGGTGTGCTTGTAAGTGAAAAAGAACAGAATGAATTATGTTCTGATTAATTCTTTTTACTTCACTTTGTTCTGATTAATTCTTTTTACTTCACTTAGGTTACCTCAAGTTGCACCAAAAAAGCTGTTACGCAAAATTTACTCATTCTCTATAGAGAGTGGCTTATGTTTCATCACTAACATAGGCTGAGAGCCAGGATGAAGGAACACCAAGAGAGATTTTCTAACTAAGGGTTTTTTAAAGAAAGAACTAAAAACATTACTGGCAGCATCTCTTAAAAAAACCTACGTTTAGTCACTACTGCATCACCATCAGAGAGAATCTATTTCTACAGCCATTAACTTCCCAGAAAGGTAGGTCTGATTTTTGTCACTTTTTCTTCTCCTCACTTTCTCCTCTTGTTACTCCCATCTCATGCTTGGAGCAGCAGTGATGTTTCTGTTTGTTTTTCTTTGTTTTTCAGATATTTGAACAAAGAGACATGAAAGAAAGATCCACAGCCTCCATAGAGGAGGAGAGGGGCACCCTAATGCCCCCGTGGGCTGTCCTGGCAACTTGACATATTCAAGGCCTCACGTGAAGTTTGAAATATGCACTTCTCACCAACTTCGGTTAAAGTTTCACACGCACACCAGATGTGCAAAATCACAATCTTAAGATGTATGCGTTGAGTCAAGCTTCATGTATATGCTCCCCTTGTATGAAATATCAACGTGTGCAAGGTTTCACGTTGACCTGTTACAGCCTTTTCACACGTGTAAGTTCTATCAATTTGGAGGGATGGCAGATTTGGCCATGCACTTACACATTAAGTTGCCAGGCAAGAAAAATGACACTAATCTCTACTATGGAAAACATATTAAACATGTTAGAAGAATGACACACAAGCAATCTGCTCAGGTTTCTACTTTCCCAGCTCTATTGCTGATGAGGCCTTTCTTTGAGGGGAAGGCTATTCTTCTTTTAATTCCCAAGGTTAGCATTGATGTCATGTTTTGTAAAGGATCAATCTTTAGTGAATTTGCAGTGCCATGTTTTGGTTCTTTAAGTCCCAGGGATCACTGAGAGCTGGGTTATGGTATTACTTCATCCTGTAACACCAAAGAGTTTCTCAGTGTTAAATGAATAATTAAATGAGTGACATGTCATGCCACATGTGAAGTGATCTGTGCAACCAGGCTGGAAGAACTTATTTTCTTCTATTATGCATTCTGCGAGTACCAGGTAAAGAAGGCAAGCAGGAGATGTCATATTGCTAACACAAAATCCTCTGCAACCTAAGCAAAAACTTCAGAGGAAAATTCTCACATCTTAGAAGAAAATTCTCATTCTACAGAATTGCATGTATTAAGATGCTTTGGTTGCCACAGACTACGCGATGGCACCTGATAAAGGGCTCAGGTGCAAAATTATGAGTGTGTTGAAAACCAGACCTGCTTGTCTAATAACCTGCAGAAAGAGACCTACACAAGAGACACATGCAGTTGCTTCTTGAGGGGGAGACATTTAGAAATTGAGACCCAGAACCTTCTAAATTCAACTGAATGCTGCAAAAGCTGAAGTGACCCAGCTGGTCAGTGTGCAGTGCAGCTGAATGCACTGAGATGACAAGACACATGCACAAAATCTACCATGCTATTTTTGGTAATGCAAAATTCAGGGCATTTCCTCAGAACTAGTAACTGGCCTTACCAAAATCCCAGCCACTGTTTGATTCCAAAGAAATGCCCAAGGTTTTAGGGCAGTTGAATATATGCATAAAGGGGGGCTGGATTCGATGTTATGACATGCACCCACCCCACTCATCTCAGCTTCTGGACCAGCTCTGTGAAGGCTACAAGCAGCCAACCCGGGCTAGAGCAGAGCTCGCTCAGGCTGGTCTAACATATGCTATAGGCTGTAGAGACGGAAGAATAATTTCAGAGCAGAGACCATAAAAGTTGATTTAATGCCACTTTTTGCTCTCCTTCCTCTGCACCAAGACACTGGGAAAATAAATGAAAGCTTTTTGGACAGCTAACAGTTTTCTTTATTTTTATAAAGTGTCCAGAGTAGCAGGGACTGGCCTTAGGCAATAGAACTGAATAATACAGTATCAAATCAGAAGTATATATAGTTTTATATATGTGTGTTCCCAGCTCCCTTATGCAGATCACAATGTGGTTCAGATGTATCTGTGCTGGAACAACATAAGAGGCATTTAAGGGATGAGAAAAAACTGCTGGTGACAGGCAGGACAGTTCTTCTCAGTGGTGGCACTGGTCATAAAACTGTGGCGTGAGCATTTCAGTGTATACTGTATTCTACATCTAATTAAGCTGCAAGCTCCTTAAATGCAAAGGCCTAATTTTCCCCTTTGTCTTTACCTCCAGCATGACTCGTACTGTGGTGTTTAAACATACAGTACTTTTCCAGCATTATATAGCACTTTTCCAGCCCAGGATGCTAAGGGTTTTTAAAAGCATCTCTAAGTTCTCAAAACTCAGATTAGAAAAGGAAGCACCATGCCAAATGTATGAATAGGAGAAACCAAATCATAAAAAAGGGATGTGATTGCACAAGCTTATGCAGTGATTTTATGAGAGCATCTTAACAGAAGACTACCTTCCAGCTCATGACGATAATGGGAAACCATTCCTTCCTTTATGATTAGCCAGTAAGAATTATAACATGTAATGACAAAAGAACGCATCTCATATTTACTCCCTTTCCAATATTTTGTTGTCACTGAAGGTTCAACTTTTGTTTAATAGTCTATTTTTAATAAATGTAAAAATTATGAGCACTTTGGAATATATTTTCTAATTTTACATGTATTCCATATAGGAATTCAACACCAAATATTTCTGAAAGTCAAATTAGCCCAATTGATAATGAATATGCATCGAACGGGACTTTCTTCAAGATTCTTTCAAAAAATTAAGCCCACAAAAATGTTAGTGCTGTTGCATATGTATTAACTAATGACTTGTCTGGAAACACATTAAAGGAGATTTATATATGATTCTAAAAGGGAAACAGTGCTACTGTGCTACATCATAGCATGCTCAGGTAAGAGAGAACGTAAATTACCTGCTGTGTAATCTTCCGCTGTCTCCTTTAAAATACTTCTACTTTCACTAATTAATATTAAAGCAATCCAGAACCTAGGCCTAAATACTATCCAAATTCAGAAAATTCAGGGCATTCAGAATGAGATTTGAATGCTGCAGAAATTCACTATTCTTGATTTAGCTTGCTGCCACTGATCCCTTCAGAAAACAGGGCAACAACTCATTCTCCTGTTTTGAGAGCTCTTACACAGTGGGAAAAGACTCAGCAATATACACACACACACAAGACAGAAATGGAAGAGACCCCCATCACATTATCCAGTCTTTCTCTTGGGGCCAGTGTAAAAAATGTGCTTTCCAGCATGTTTGCTAGTTGTTTATCCTGCTTACTTTTTAAAGTCCCCAGAGATGGAGCTGCCCCACCTTTTCCCTGAGGGGCTGTTCCACAGTCCCATTCATTTAACTGTCAGGAAATGGTTTTTACAGTCAAGTGCTATTCTGTTCTCAAAAATGACTAAAGGGAACCTTTTAATTTCACATACATATTCCCTGCGTGTCAGAATTGCATCTATTTATTTCAGTGACTCAGACACACTTGTACTATTTCTATTCCTGTTACCTCTGCGGAACAAATTGAAGTTCAGAGGCAAGAGGCTGGCTTCTATTCCCTACTGTATATGGCCAGTACAGTTGGGCTCTCAGTCTATGCACTTACAGTGGTGCAACTACACAGGTGACCCAACTCTTCCTTAAAGCCCCCTTCAAAATGCTGGGCCTCAATTATATGTGATAATATGGTTTTTTTAAAAAAAAAAAGCAGGGGGTGAGGGAGAGACTGCTCTGACTCAGATAGCAGGAGTTTGCAGCACTGATATGAAAAAATACACAAGCACCTTTTATTTAACTGTGCCCAGTAATACTAGTCATTAAACACAAGCACTTTACGGGAAGTACACTACAACTACTCAGAATTTTTGTGTAATGAACTGTTACTGAACAGTCACAGTACACTTTCAGGCAAACCACAGTGTACAGTCCCTTCACTATGTCATTTTGTACCTACACAGCGACTCAGGCCAATTCTTCCCATACTATTTATCTTCTAAAGTTTATGCATGACCTTTAATTATTTTCATCATGTTTTTACAAGCAATTGAAACAATGAAATACCTGGACAGTTCCCAGCAACTTAAAAAAGGTTGTGCTTTGAGTAGCAAATCTTATCTTTGAATTAACTTAAAATAAGGATACTCACTTCTTTCTAAATTGTAACAATATGACCACACATCATTCAAGAGAGATTTTGTGATCTGACCACAGGGGCAATGTGTTCATCTGTGCCAGCACACCAGAACTGCCAAACCAGGGCTGCAAACGCTGCTCCTGGCTGTTCTGTGAGACTCAAGCGGTTTCCCTCCTTTTCTCATTACAGAAACACCACAACTTTTTGCTGTTATGGTCTGTAAGTAATACTTTTCATTCTCCCCTTCCCCCTTTTCATGGATGACATTCGATTCATTCAGATGAGATCTCAGACACTGCACAAAGGAAATGAGCTCATCTAGCATGCCTGGTGCATCCCAGTGTTTCAAGCCACTGAAGGAGTTATAAATAAAATCTCTACAGGACAAGAACATAGGTGCAGAAGGAAAACGGAGGGTGTTAGAAGAATGCTGGACTGTTTCACTGCACCGAATCAGGACAAATGATGAGCGAGACTACAGAAACAAAATCTCTAACTACTTTCCTTGTGGCTATTTCTGCATACTTTTCTAAAAGTAACCCCCTCCCCAAGCGTTACTTACGTCTGTGGAGCTGGGGCTAGGCAAGGACACAGGCTGAACAGCTGCGGGAAAAGTAAATGTGGTCTCTGTCTTTTCATTTTCAGGGGAGTCAGGATAACTGGACAGAGGGGACGTGGGGGTCAAAACCCCGAACCCCAGCACCGTGTTGTATTTAGGTGGACGACCTACACGTTAACAACAGGGAACACAAAAAAAAAAAAAAGAAAAAAAAAGAAGGAAAAATGATCTTACATACCTTTGGCCAGTGGTCCTCATTGGCTAGCGTGAAAAAGGAAATGATGTAGCATAGAGAGGAAGTTAATATAAAAGTTACAAGTGGAAGGACAGAAGCAAAGATTTACACATTTTTTAGAAATCTTTAAGTAGAACTTCGCAAGGAAAGAACATTTAAAAGACGTATTTCAGAAGAAAATAGAAATAAGCTCTGTAGAGGGTCAAAGAATCATTCCCAGCAGTGTGGGGACACCTGCCACTTCTAGAAAGGAGGCTATTCAGTTTTTAGGGAAAACATATTGGCATCAAAGCTAGAGAGAAGCTACATTAACTACTAGTAAATCTTTTCTACTGTTATCCCTCGCCTCCCTATCTTTCTAATGTCAGCATAAATCTACACAAAGGTTAAGTCCTTTATCAGAGGCTAACACTCACCTACCCCCTCCTTTTCTTCCCCCTTTTTTAAACCCACTCACCCACAGATCAGCACTTTCTACCCTACTGGTAGATTTTTTTTTAATAAGGCTGCTTGAAGAACAGGTCCTGTTGTCCAACCCATAACACTAGCACTACCAGTTGTAACCTACCACTGGTCTTCCACTATAACTTCCTCCACATTTTGTATTTTTTCTTAGATTTCTCAGTCAAGTATGTTTGCTTATGCACAACTCCTGTATGCTCCTTTAGAGTAGCAGAAGTGCAAAATCTGTTGGTAACCATTTTCATAAAATTATGTATGCAAAGCAAGACAGCAAAAACCAGTAGGTAACCATCACTTCTGCCTCCCTTTGCCAGGGTTATTTATGGATATGTAAACAAAAAGGAGTTAGGATCTAGGAATAATTGCCCAGATCTCATGTTTACAGATTGTCTGTCTATAGCTATTAACATGCTAAACCTCGCATTAAGGTCTGGATATGTTCCAGAACTAAGTATGTCCTTGGAAACGGATTTCTGATAGTCATGTCCATGGCTGAAATTTCTGACATGCTCAGCACCATCTAGAATTAAACTAAACTAAAGCTCTCAAGGGCACATGCTTGCATAAGCTTTTCACCTAATATACTGCTATACTAAATCACAAAACAAATGTATACATCCAAATCTTTTGTCAATTGAAAATGTGAGCTGCTAATTTGGTGCTGATGCAAGGTACAGGATGACAATAAGGTATGAGAAAAAAATAGCAGTCAGTGTGCAAAAATAGGCTAAGAGCATCAAGTACAACAGCATGCAACTGTTTTCATTGATACAGTAACTGTTCACAATGAATTATAAAATAGAATTAAGAAATTATTACTAGAAGAAGGAACATTTACTTATCCACATAGTAAATGCAAAACTCTCTATAAAATCTACATCATATAATTTAAAAAAATACATTTAATGGTAATAGAGGATGGCAGTAGAGGCTGATGTCTTTTATTTAGAAGCAGCATAGCTGCAGAAGTGTCAGCTTTGCCACATTGTCTGCTGGACTGAAGAGGTGTATCAAGGAAAATACCTCAAATGAGTATTTGACCTTGCAGCCAAAAACCAAAGATAATGGAACTGGTCAGTGCTAGGTGGGATTACAGTTTTTTTAATCTTATCGATTACATTTTTTTAGACAGCAAACCTAGGAGTACAGAAGGTATTACAAGTCTTTACAGACTGCAGAAAATAATAAAAAATCGGGGAAAGCTTGTCTGATATATGTGGTTGATGACATGCACAAAAAAATGCTGTTCTGATTCATCTGTTTCACCATAATCTAAGTCTTAAAATTTCACCTGTTCTAGAGAAGGATTTCTACTGTGATAATACTGCATACCTATACGAAAGATCATCTCTCATTCTGGGACAAGTGGCACTCTGGCTGCAGAAAAGTGCTCTGTATGAGCATGATAGCCTTTGTTTCTCAAGATAAATTCTTTTGAAGGACCCATCTCTATTCCCAGTGGGGAACAAGGCTTTTGTCACATTAAGTTTCCTCTTCTATTCAGGGCACAGCACTTTTGCCATATCCACCTTCTTCTTGACAGTAACAATACAATTTAGGTATTAATAAGTTGATCTTGACAGCAGCTTTATACCACTAAACGATTTTCAAACATATCACCTTTCACTTTTCTTTATCTATTGTATTCCTTTTTTTTTTTTTGGAGAGTGAAACTGAAATGAAACATTGAGCTGCCTAATGAAACCTGCTATGCTAAGCCCTAGAAGTCACAATCTTAGTCTACCGTGGAAATTTGCTGGACAAATGAAGTATTCTAGAGTACTGGTTTGCTCTTCAAATCAACAAGGGGGCTGCAAATGCAAGATGGAGGAAGAGGCATACAGCAGGGAGACAGGTCTAAGTATACCTCACCTCTTTTACGTGTCCCGGGATGCATTGTGCTGTTAAGATACGTGACTGCACTCTTCTTGCGCTGCAGGGAAGAATATAACAGTTTTTGTGGGCTAACATTTTTGGAAACAACTATATGCAATAGCTGAGGAACAGCACAGTAGTACTAAGTGAGATTACTGGTCTGTTCTGTTTTCTGAAGCACAGCTTCAGGAAAGTAAGCTTTTTTACACTACTTCTGACATCTTGACTGCTTCAGGCTGATATGGAAGCTGACCTAATGTGACTAACACACACTGCCATTTAAAGTCAGCTTTACATAGGAAAAGGCAGAAAGAGATGTAAGTGTTAGAAGAACATCCCAATGCATTTATTGTTTAAAAATCCAGAGGTCATAACACTGCAATGGCCTTTTGAATTACAAATGGTAGTTTGCCTGTCTAGTTAGGACTGAAATAGCTTACACGGTAGCAACATAGTAGAAAGACAGACAAGCTCAGAAAGAAAATACCAGCTTTCCCCATCAAAAAGTTAATACCTCAGGCTCAAAAACGGCTCCACTGTACACGGGATTTGCTGTTGTTCTTCTTTTCCTCTCTTGTCGCTTACTTTGGATTTCTTGTAAAACAAAGCATTCAGGTTAGAAAACAACAGGCTTCAGAAATTATTTTAAATAAAGTCCTCAGAATTCAGTTTGCATGTCAGGAGAGCTGTGAAGAACACCAATCATGCTGAGTATAGGCAACTCTGTTATACTTAAATTTCTGAAGGTTTGAAAACTAAGAGCTGACAAAGAATACAAATACAGTGCTCAACTAACTAATGGAATGATTGCCATCTTCTCACCAAGTACTCCACAGCTAAAACATTTTAAACTCATGGTCAGTGTAATTGGCATCTAAATTGAAAAGCCTCTGACAACCTTGTTGATACTTAAAAATAAATACAGTACAGAAATAGGCAAGCCATTGAAATGTTAGGCTGTATTTCATTGTATAGGATGAAGAAGATTAAATTGTAAACCCAATTATAATCTATTAACTCATCCACTACAGATTACAGTCCCATGAAATAAATGAAAAGTTCAGATATGGGTTACAGTATAAGTATCCATGGTGTAACTTCGCAGATACAGGGATCGCACAGAAGGATATGGGATCACCACAAATTTCTTTCCTACCATCAGAGCATACACTTTCTTCCCAACCACTGATCTCCATTGCACAAGCAACTGCTTTGTTTCAATGTAATAAAGAGAAACAAAAAAGCACGCACAACAAACTAAGTTGGATCAGGAGTACGGATATCCCAAATATACTTTTGTGCAAGAAAATACTGTATTTAATTCAGAAATATTCTGGAGCTGCACTTCCAATTCAGAATGACCATGAAACAGGAAGCTCAAGAACCAACGTAAGACATTTTTCCTACCTTCCAGATGGTCATGAGTAACTAGTCCCAGAGACACCATGAAGGCAAGTTTCTGTGAGGGGGGAGAAAAAAAGATCACAAGAAGTCCAATTGTTAGGATAAGCTATGTCACTTAGGCCCCTTAAATTCAGTTGACAGGTAACTAAGCAACAGAAATGTTATTAGTAATACTTTCCTTCTATAAATCACTTTTCATTCATGTATGTCAAACTGCTTTACAGAGGATAGACAACAGTCTCATTTTCTAGATGGGAACCTAGGCTGAGATACAGGGAAATGCCAATTGCTCACGATCACAGAGTTGGTAAAGCTGGGAACAAGAGAGCAGTTTCCTTACTTCCAGGCCAGTACTGAACTATGTGATTGGCTCTTAGTAACTACCAACACATTCTAATTGCCAGGAAAATGCTGCTAGTTAAAGATTATTCTCCATTTATTCCAAATTACAAGGAGCAACTCCAGTTTACATTTGCCGCTCAATAAAGGCTATGGCTTTCTTAAAGGATTCAGATTTTAATGCAGGAAGTGCAGAGACATGTAAATCAGAATTTGTACTGACAACAGTTAATGCTCGCACAGTAGTCAGTTTGAATCCATCTACAAAAACAAATGTAGGAGAGCATTTAGCTGTAATCAGTTCCAAAGCTCTGCATGACAGGAGGGCTTTAAGAAACAGCCATTCTGGCCACTCTTCCCCTCCGCCAAGACCAACTTGGACATAAACTGGAATAAAGCCTGGGTCGAATGTGAACATACATGACTCTTTTCATCCTGCTCACCAGAGCAGAAACATTTTATAAAGCAAAATAAAGACATTTCTCCAGCATTAAAAATAACTCCAGAATTCTAAAACCTCAAAGGAATGGAAATCAACACTGTAATCTAAGCCTCTTGGTTGAAGGAAATATCAGAGGGAAATGAGGATCTTCTAACTTAGAAAAGACTCAGAAGTCAAATGCATTCCAGGACTGAAATATGGATTGCATTATATTTATTTAGATTTATTATTCTATAGCCTTATCAACTACTGCTGTCCAACAGGAATGTATGGAATGTTAAAGTTAAGGAATCTTGAGGAAAAGGAGGGGGAAAATGTTCTCTGAAGGACAGAGTGTTTTTTTCTTAAAAGAAAGCTCTGTGTGATACCTGTGGATTTTCTTCTCGTTTTGGCTTCGGTGCAGCAGGTGGAGTAACTGTACGACTTTCTGTTTGCTTCTCTTCTGCTTCCACATGTGGTTTAATAGTCTGAAAAGAAACAAGTGTTTCTGTCATTCAGTGATAAGAATGACTTTTTTTACTTTGACTCATAAAGCAAAACAAATACTTTTGCAGATACAGGAGAAAAACAGTTTAAAGCTGGCAGTGTACTAACAAAGACTTAATTGAGGAATCCAACGTGAAAGGAATGCTAAACAGTGTTTAACAAAGGATGAAACAGCCTTTCCACCATTCCATTAACCCATGCAGCCACGCAAGCAATAAAAGTCATCTTAAGGGTTAACTCCATTACAGAAATCATTATACAGTATGGGAAAAGTAACTTAAACACTTCAAAAAAAAGCATCCCACGGAAGACTTCCGGGTAGAAACCATCCTGCATGGCATATGTATTTTGTTCTTCTCACTCTCCAACTTTCCTATTTCATAGAATTATGAATGGCCCAAAAACTGTCTCTGTGACTCCTGCAATCTTAGATGTTTCTAAAGCTTTTCTCTTTTCTCAAGTCATAATCTTCTGCAATGGCATCACAAACCCTGCATGACAATCCTCAGCCCATGGCATAGCTGTTGAGGCTACCAACTGAGTGAGGTAACCTACAGAGAGAAAAACTTTTCCCCTTTATGATATGGAGAAAACATACAGAAAAATTCATGTATTATTAAACCACCACTATTCTTCTGTATGCTTTTCAGCAGTTGAATTGCCAGTAATTATTCAAAGAGCAAATGAATATTGCTGACACCAAAAGGAATAGGCATCAAAAATATACTATCGTAGAAGTACAACTTCAGATCATATGAAAAGGGCATATGTTGCTGAGTAACTTGTCGAACAGCCTTGAGGTATGCAAGAACCTACTCATAGGAATTCAGAAGCAGAACTGAGCATGAGCATATCTGTCATGCACGATTTTCAGTTTCCACAGGTGACTTCAAAAGCACGCTTCAAAACTAACTTCAAGGCACACTCGTCTATGAAAGAGTTACAAGTGAAAGATATAAGACCATTATTTATATAAATTACATAAATATTATATGTTACAGAGAATGTATTATATAGCATACAATATTATACTATTAGTCACATATATGAAACAGTTAAAAGTGAAACAGAAGATTTGCTTTACTTGAACTGAATGGCAAGGACGCTCAGTTGCAAACCAGATCGACTAAAGTCAAGTTTTATCTTAAAAAACTTTTCTGGAGAGACGCTTTAAAATGAAACATCTAGAATTCTCTGTTTCTGAAGGTCTCCTTTCCACTCAATCCATCCAATTTAGTCACAGGGAACTATCAGTCTCCAGAAGCTGAGATTATTTTGCCTCCAATCAAGGAAGAAATGGCTACATGTATTATACTAAATACCCCTACTATTTTGCGTAATTTTTGCCATTCGTGTAGCCACTCTTTGCAAAACAGATACACAGAAAATATTTTTTCCAGTGTTTCTCAAAGATTTGATATGAACATGGGTTTCAGTTTGTACTTGGTCTCCAAGATACTAGTACAGCCCTGCAATGTAGCTTACTTATAAACTACTGAAGTTAAGACAGTAGGGGGAGCATAAAAACACTGAAGCATGAGAAAAAGATTCCAATGGCCCATATTAAAGAAAATGGTAACTTCTACCCCAAGAGTGTCAAGTCATTCCATCATTTGTACAGCCGTTGGAACATGAGTATCTCCAGTACTCTCTGAAAATTTCTCCATAGTTGTCATCCTCTCCAAAAGGCCACGGTAAATAATAAATAAACCCAGTACGTTGCATTAGCAGACACTTTCTTATCTGTACCTGCTTTTCAATGTTTGGTTTGCTGATCTGTACAGTCTGAGGTCCAGCGAGCCTTGTACCCGGTGCTGCTATCACGATGCTGGTGAGCTGTGCCATAGGGAAGGTTTTGGCTATGGTTGCTGTCTGCCCATTAACTACACGAACTGGATGTATGGAGTTCTGCGAGTTGGGTAAAGAGGTGGGTGTGAACTTTGTCGTCAACATCACGGGCCTCTGAATAAGCTGAGGAGCTGCAAGCATTGGAGGAGGTGCTGGGGCAATAGGAATGTTATTTTGGGCAACTGGTTTAGGTCGAACCTACAGGACAAAAAAGAGAGAAAAAAAGAGAGAGATTCATGTATCAGTATTTCAGATGAACTTTTTTACTAAATCTTTCAAGTCAGCCTGTAAAATCTGCAGAAGGTTGCTTGATTATTTCTTAGCATGTAATTTTGAGCATAGTGTCCTAAGCATGCTATGAGAAGAAAAAGCCACATTTTCAAACCTACCTGCATAAAACATATCCATAACATTTGCATATGCAGTCACTGTCCCTGAAATGGTATTTGGACACACAGACATTTATATTAAACGTTTATTGCCAAGTGCCTTATCTGTATCTAAATCAATGCACTGGTGTTGTAAGCCAAAAAAATTCATGTAATATTTACAGGCATGGCTGAGGTTCCCATGTTAAAAGTGTGTCTCAGGGCTTTATACTGAGCCTCCAAAAAATCATGAACAGTTGATTGTGCCCTGAAAGAAATAATTGAACTTTTCAGCAAATCCCCGTTACCTTTGTCAACTCTATTTATTATTTAGACACCTGCACAACCAATCTTGCTAAGCAAAAACAATTGTCAAGATCATACATTAATCCCCCATTGAAAGTGCTAAAGGCTACAGGTAAATGCAGCCATTACTCTTTTCTTTTTTCACAAGAAAGAAAAGAGCTACAAGAATCTTCCAATACTCCACCACCAATACCTGCTTATTTCTTGCTTGTTGTTAAGTTTGTATTTACAGAGCACAGAAGTAGAATATATTACTCTGAAAATAAAATCTTTTTGTTTATTTGATTCCTATTGTTCTACCCACCCTGAATACTGTACAGTGCATTTTATCATGGAAAACTAGGTCACACTTCAACAGATCTCACCATCCGCAAATTTTAATCAGATACCAGCTTGCACTTGTCTTTTGTAAAAGATTTAGACTTTTATTCACAGCATCATGTATTTCTTACAAATTAAATAGTTACTCCAAGATTTTTTTTAAATGAAGAAGGAAGCTGTGTCTTTCCCAAACCATGAAACAAAGTAAACCACAAGTTTTACTGCTTACCTGCAAACAGAGGTCAGTCTCTGTCGCAATACAGAAATAGGAATAACCTAGAGACACCTCATTTTTCCTTTTTTGCTCGTGAGCAGCAAACAACAGTGAGAGCAATTTAAGGCCTTGGGTGATGCTTTGATTTTGCTGACACCTGTTTCGTGGGTTAATTTCATTTGATGCAAACAGGATCATGTATGTTAATCGTATGCAAATTTCATAGTAACAGGTTGGGAGGCAGCTCAGGTGTCTAATTCAACCTCTTGCTCAGAGCAGGGCCTTCACTAAATGCAGACCAGGTTGCTCAGGGCATTATCCAGGTAGGTCTTGTACAACTCCAAGGATGGAGCTTCCACAACATCTCTGGGAAGCCACTTCCACTCCTAACTGTCCTCAAAGAGATAACTGTTTCCTTACATGCACTCTAAACCGTCCTTGTTCCAATTTATGATCATTGTCTATAGTTCGGCTGCCAAACACCTGTGTATCCATCTTTTTGTAAATGTCCTTGTTGATACTGGAAATGAGGCTGCTGTTAGGGTGCCTCCAAAACCCATTTTCCAAACTGGTCAAGCCCAGATATATTTCAGCTCCTCAACTATCTTAGTGGCCTTCCTTCCCTGGATTCATTCAAATTTATCAACCAGGGGGTCCAAAACCACATGCTGTATATCGGATCCAGCTTTATGATTGCTGAGGAAAGGTGGACAATTGCATCCCTTAACCTCCTGGCTGTGGTCCTGTTGGTACAGTCCGATATGCTGCTAGGCTTCTTTGCTGCCAGGGAACACCACAGGTTTGGCTACTGGCAACCAAGACCCATTAAGCAACGCTGCTCCCCAGCCAGCCAGTCCCCAGTCTGTACCTACGCGGGGGGTTAGGCCATTCCATGTGCAAGACTTTGCTTTTTTCTGTGCTGGAGCTCAAGAG